AGTCCCTGCTCAAACTTTAATATTGCCACAAACCACCTGGGTTCTTGAATAAAAATGAGTTCTAATTTCATAAGTACAGTAGGACCTGGGGCCACTGCATCCCTAGTAAGTTCTAAAATGAGAGAGCAAGGATTTGATTTCTAGAATCCCTCAACTAAGAAAAATGCTTGCTGATCTTCCGGAGGACCCGTGTTCAGTTCCAGGCCCCCCTCCCCAGGTGGCTTACAACCACCTGTAACTACACTTCCAGGGAATCCATAGCCTTCCGGCCTCCTGGGGCACCCACTTACGTTACACACACACACACACACACACACACACACACACACACACACACACCATCTTTAGACATAAATAAAAATAAAAGTGGGGCTGGAGGGTTGGCTCAACGGTTAAGAGCACTGGCTGCTCTTGCAGAGGACCCTGGTTCGATTCCCAGCACCCAGATGGTGGCTAACAACCATCTGTAACTCCAGTTCCAGGCAATCCAATGACTTCTTCTGACCTCCGCACATACTGTAATGACACGGGTGCACTTACATACATGCAGGCAATACACTCATACACATTGAAAATAAAATAAATACAAAATATTAAATAAGTAGATAAAAGTAAAAAGAATCATGGAGATTCCTTCCTGGGTAGAGCACGTACTGAACCCAGACTGAGCCCTGGGTCCGATTCTCCAGCAGTAGCCATGGTAGCTGACTGCAAGCCCAGCACTCAGTGAGCAGAGGCAAGAGGGTCAGGAGTTCAAGGTCATCCTCAGCTACATAAGGAGTTTGAGACCAATCTGAGCTACATGGAATATGTCTCAAAAGGATACAATTTAAGGAAAGAAAAAGAATCTCCAGTGACCTGTGTAGAAACATCCATTGCAGTGTCATTTGCAATGAGGAAATACTGAAAGCTGCCTGCATTTACTGGCAGAAGATGGACTACACTGTATCCAAACAATGAAACACACTTAAAGAAAGTAAATCTACATTTAACATCGTAGATAAATCTCATATGCAAAGTTATATATATATATATGTATTCACAATATACATTAAATACCAAACTCAGGACTGTGGTTTAACAGGGAGGAGGAAGGAGATGACCTGGAGAGAGTGGGCCTCTGCTAAATATGTAAAGTTTTATCTAAAAATAGAACAAAACACAGCACACAGCACATTCTTAGGGCAGTGTTGCTAGCTCCTGTGACAGGTGTATACTTGTCTATTTGGTTATCCTCCATAATTTGCAGAAATAGGCTTTTAATTCTTAATTTATGTGCACTTTATACACCCATATTCAAAGAAGCATCACTTATAATAGCCAAAAGGTAGCAGCAGTCTAAGCAGCGTCAGATGAATGAACAGGGTAGCTTATGTGGTCTATGCGCACAATGGAATGCTATTCAGGGACGGAAGAGATGGCTCAGCAGTTCTGAGTGAGTACTGCTCTTCCAGAGGACCTGGGTTCAATTCCCCCCACCCACATCTGATGGCTCACAACTACCCATAACCCCAGCTCCAGGGGATCTGTGGGTGCCACCCTCACATGCACAAGCCCACACACATATACTTTAAAACATAATAAAATAGGGGCTGGAGACATGGTTCAGCAGTTAAGAGCACTAGATGCTCTTGAAGAGGACCCAGGTTCAGTTTCTAATACCCACATGGTGGCTAACAACTATCAGTAACTCCAGTTCCAGGAGATCCGATCCCCTCTTCTGGCCTCCATGGACATTGAAAACCAGTGGTGCACTTACATACATGCAAGCAATACACAAATACACATAAAATTAAAACAATAAAGAAATGATAATATTATTTTTTTTTTTTTTGGTCTTTTTGAGACAGGGTCTCCCTATAGCCTCAGCTGGCCTGGACCTCTCTATGTAGACCAGGCTGTCCTTGAATTCAGATCCTCCTGCCTTGCCTTTGGTGCTTCACCACACCCCTGCCCAGTACTTTTTTTTCGAGACAGGGTCGTTTCATAAGCCCTGGGTACAAGCCCCAGGGATCTTCCTGCATCACTTCTCCAGCACTGATATTACAAGTATGCATAACTACACCCAGCTTTTTAAAGGTGATTTCTTTTTACATTGATTTATTGTGTGTGTGTATGTGTGTG